TATGGTTAGTGTAGAAACCTGTTTGGGGAGAGCTTCCTGAAACTTTCTTCTTTGCCGTTTGCGAGGGCTTCTCTGACAGATGTGTGCGCAGAGAGCATCTTGGAGCAGTAGCGACGAGTAGTAATTTAATCAAGTAGTAAAAGTTGTTTCCCCATGAAATGAAGTTTCGTTGGGTGTGAGTCGAGCTAGTCTGTAAATGCAGATCTGTGCAGTCTGAGAAGAGGAGGGTCTTTTAAAAAAAAAATTAAAAATCAGCAATTGTTCTGATACTTGAATGGATTGGAAAAATGCCTTGTAGAAATGTCATGTATCAAGAGGGATTGCAAAAAACCCAACAACATGATCACAAATAATTTTTGGAAAAATAATAGCTGAGTGAATACATTTTACAGCCCTTAACAATGAGCTGTATAACCACTGCCAGCTTGCAAACAGGGCTGAAGGCAGAATTTGGACCTCTACGGTCTATATCTTCATTATCTTACCCGCATCAGTCACTGAAAGCAAAAAAGTCACAAACACGTTTATGCTGGTACCAGGGTCTTCAGTGAAAACTGTTGAGACATCGAAGTCAAGTTCAAAGAAAAGAGGCGAACAAAGGGAGTAAGTGCATTTGGTCAGGAAACACGACTTTGTTTGAGTTAAGACATTAGCCTGGTGATTGGAAGATGTGGCCAGTGTCTTTCCTTGGCTGCCTGGGCAAAATGCCACCATTGCTCCTGAGCAACATCTGGGCTATCGACTGAATCCACCCGTGCCAGGGAACAAGGAGGCAAGCAAGATGCAGACCAGTGCCTCAAAATCATTCTTTCCTGAACTGAAATATTTTTAACATGCTCTTTTCTAATTTGTGGATGTTTAAAAAAAACCCAAAACATTTTAAATAGATTTCTAGGAACAAGGGCTTTTTCTGTCCTTTGCCATCACCCTGTCTCAAATCAGGGCTGAGGTAGAAATACAATTACATGTGTCAGGAGCAAGAGGACGTGGTGATTACGGTGCTCCAATCACAACCCTACAGAAACACCCTTTGCTTATGTGCCCGACTGTGTGGGCTTGAGGGAGGGCTGGTGGCCATCGACTTAGCTGGCCTGGATGAGGATCAAGATTGCAAATAGTGAGAGAAAAAAACCCTTTTCTTCTGGCTTTTTTGAAGGATCACTCTGTGCTACAGAATGTTCGACGCTGCGCTCCGTGCTTTACCCTCAGCAGACTTGTTATTTTGGCTCCTAGCTACAAAGTCTGGCTTGTTCATTCAAGCTGTAATGTTTTTTCCCAAACCAGTCCAAGCTCTGGCGCTTTTTCAGTTTAGGCTTATAGCTGTCACATAGGTCAAACCTGTGGGAGTTGAACCCCTGGGACTCTCTGCATAGAGAGCTGGAGAATTACAGGGTCTAGCTGGGAAACACCTCACGCTCTGGTATTTTCCTTTATTTTTGCCCTGGCTCCTTTGCCTCTTCATTTTTAATTAGTGGCACATGCTGAAATGATAATTTAAATTCTTTTCAGAAATCAAAAGAATTCCCACTGACAACATTATTAAGTTATAATTACAGTGAAGAAAAGAGGTTAATAAGAATTTGAGCCAAATATCTACTCTCCATTAAATGAGAACTTGACTGAACCTGTTTTCCCTTCATTTTGGTAGGTTACTCTAGGTTTGAATGGGTCCGGGATGGCTATACACCTGTGCAAAGGGCCACTGCAAGGCCAAATAGCCATCGTCAAGACCATTTCATGGACCTGTCTCGGGATAGGTCTCACCTGCCCGATGCTCAAGACAGACTTTAACAGGCAGGTAGGACTTCTCTTGGACCTCTGAAAGACAGATGTATATTTCAGACGGTAAGCAGAACATGGTCACATGGGGATGTCTGTGTGAGAACGACATGTAGGAGGTGGCACTTTGTTGCGAAGGAAACTTAGCGAGTATTGGTGGGGGGAAAATAATCAGGTTCCTGGGCTACAGCATTCAAACAAAGCCCCTTCCTTCGCTCATGCTGAGCGCCACATGCATGCAGAAACATATGCAAATCAGCCTTAATCTACGGAGTGTTTTGCATTTTCAATGAAATGAGGGGGAAAAGAAACATTTTCCTCTGTATTAGCTCTAAGTGTGCCCATCAAGACGACAATTATTGCTATGGTTTCGCATGTTAAAAATGGGTTTTAAAGCAACTGAAGGTGCAGGGGGAAAAAAAACCCAATCCTTATGCTGGGCACCTGCAGGGTGAGCCTCCATGTTTCCCGGCACCACTCCACACCGGGCGCTAGATAATGATCTGTTTAAACTCAGCCACACTTGGTGCAGTTACAGCTGGAGCCCTACAAGGCAAGAGCTTTGCCTCGAAGACCTGTTGTAAGCTTGGTGTTTCTTTTTCCCTTTTTTTTTTTCTTTTAAGCTGTAACGCGTTGCTTAAGCTGTGGCACACCTCAAAGGCAGACCTTTCCCTCTTCCCAAGTTGCACACCATCGAGTCCTGCAGTCCTCCCTCACATCTTGCACAAGCGTTTTTACGGCGTGAGCCCGCAGCCTTTGCACAGGCAAGTGCTTCTGCAGACTTCCCCTTCTCTGTAATCCATACCCAGCGCCGGCGTCCTGCCTGCGGTTATTGCTCCAAAACTACCTCAAGGCTGGCTCTCCCCCAGCCCTGCAGCATTTGGTGAGAGCCCGAACCGCACGTGGGGGATAGATGGGAAACACAGGCAAAACTTGGAGGGGGCTGCTGCAAGCACCAGTCCCTTCTCACGCCGAAAGCCAAAAGCACACGAGAAGGGACCTTGCAGAGGGTGAAAAAGGCCTTTTTGCTCCTCCTTTTCTGTGCACTGCATGGCGTGAGGGCCAGCATGTGGCTTCAGCTGGAAGGACTAGGCAGGCTGCTGGGGAAGGAGCAAAAAGGACTTGAAGGCGCCTTTGGGGGCTCTCAGCCCATACGTGGCTACACACGCTTGGAAATAGGAATTACTTCCTTCAGAAAGCTGAAGTCTACTCTCAAGAATATCAGTCTGACTTTGAAGCGCTTGCATCAACTTAAATTTCAGCAAACGATTTATTTTCAAGCTATTAAATAAAATGCAATTTTTTTCCTGGCAGGTTGCATCTTTTTTTTTGTTTTGTTGCCAATTGCTTTTACTCTCTAGCATTCCTGGGGCTGAATGTCCTCAGTGCTTATGCTGCATGAGGCTCTGCAGGTCTGCCCAGTTATTTGCCGTGCAGCGTAACGCAGCAGGTTTCAAAGTATATTCTCACCTCTGGTTTCTTAAGACAAGCATGAAAAAATCTATTCTACAGTATAGGAACTCCAGAATATTTTGCTCTTATTCAGTTGGTTCCTGATCTGATGGTCTTAGAAGAAATAAATTATCCAGTATTTTGGGAGAAGAGCAGTTTTGCACAAAAGGCACAGTAAGCCTCCCATCGGCTGAAGCTGACCTGGACTTTGGTGTCACTAGAGATGTGTCTCGAGTCCACAACATGCTAAACGCTTACTGTTTTGTGCTGTGCTTCTTCCACTTCCTTAACAATCAATGAGAACCGAGGACGTCGAGGCTACCTGTAGTGTGCAAAACTCTATTCCTTACTTATCTAAGTGTGCTGGAAAAAACCTTCTTGGCTTGATTGTTGCCTATAACAACACCGCCAAAACACAAAAGACAAACAAGATTAGGAGACCAGGCAGGTTTAAGTAAAAAAGAACACACTTTATTTATCTACAAGGCAGTACATTGTCGTATAAAAAATTAAGTGCAGATGAAGCTGCACCAAATGCTATTAAGGCAGCAAAGTCAGAGGCTGTTATAAAAAAAACAAACAATAAAAAAATAAAATAAAATCAGTGTTTTGCCATATCGATAAAGATTTGGTATGGCAGTACAAAGAACCATGTATTTCTAAGAACCTGATTCAGTACACAAGACTCAAGTTAGGGAACAATTAGCCAGACATGGAACAAAACAGACAACATGAACAAGACAGTGTTCTCCCAAACATATGAAGGTGCAATGCATGCTGTTACAAACCAATGAGAAACAAAACAACACATCCAGACAAAAAAAAATCTCCCAAGAACAGTGTTCAAAAATATTGCTTATAAAAAAAGGGGAAAAAATATAAATGATGTAAAAAAAATTAAAATAAAAAGGTTTGAAATGCTAGTGCATAGTCAATTAGCTAACATCAACATTTGTTTTCTTTCCATATAAAGCTCTACTGCTCCTTTTACACTAGCAGCATGTCTACACGCTAAGGTCTGTAGCAGCAAAACACAGTATTCATTTGGCATTTACAAAATTAAATTACTGAATAAAAATATAATTTTTCTCATAAATCTATATTTCATACAGTAATATTTTTTAAAGCGAGCTAATTACCCCCCCCAAACAGAAACACACAATGTATAATGGTCTAGAACCATAACAGAATGAAAGAGTATTTCAAGAGGCATGGATGTTTGAGCATTCACAATCTTGATCAGTTTTCCCCCTTTGCACAGACTAGCGTTTGTAGTAATGCTTTTCACTTCAGTATTTTACACCAATGCATTTTGTTCAGTGATTTAAAATATATCTGTTTGAGTACCTGCTCTTTTATTATAAAAAAAAATAAAAGGAGAAACAAACAAAACCCCACCCCTGGCTAGCACATCACTGAAATAACAATACTGGTGTATTAGGTCTGCTTGATCTCAAAAAGTACAAAAAAATTACCTTTATTGTAAGTCTGCACTTAAGATCATTAATTACTGATTCAAACTTAATACCTAATAATTTAGGCAAGTATCATTTATTAAAAAAAAAAAAATCCTCTTAAGTTGGGTGAAATCCAACAAGAAAATATATGCTGAGTGACTAAATGCACTTTGTGCTGCTCCCAACTGTTGTACCACAACAAAGATAGGCTCTTCTCCCATTCATGAAAAGTTTTCATGCAGAGGAACCGGAATTTCCCAGCGGAGGTGAAGTGTTCTCAAAACCATAATGCTTCTCTGTCCGTCGACCCTTTCACATCACCAGAGTCCGGGTGGGGAAGGCGGCCATGTACTTGCGTGCCTGATCCGTCAGGGCCATCTGATCCTCGATCTTCCCGCAGGACGCTGACTCCCAGGCGTTGTTCAGATGCTAAATTAGAAGCAGGCAGAGAGATTTGGGGTGAACGTCATGTGATGTATTCGTAGCCCCAGCTGAAGCTGGGCCCGCTCGCGATGACGTGTTGCATGAACACACAGTAGGATGTTGTCCCGTCTCCAGAGAAACAGAAATCTCAACACAACAGGCAAAAAAAATTATCACCCCCACTTCTCAGGTAGCGACTGGAGGGGTGGGCAGACCAGACGACCTGCAGAGGGGCACACCACAACAGCCAGGATCCAGACCTCCCCACTTCTCTCTCTCAACACAACAGGCAAAAAAAATTATCACCCCCACTTCTCAGGTAGCGACTGGAGGGGTGGGCAGACCAGACGACCTGCAGAGGGGCACACCACAACAGCCAGGATCCAAACCTCCCCACTTCTCTCTCAAAGTGTCTTCTCTACGAGGCTGTATCTACAGCCTTGCCTTTAATCTTTCCTTTCAGTGAAAGGTCTAGAAAGAGAATTTACTTGCAGGTGGACTTTACAGTCAACAGGGCACAGACAGGTTAAAGCCCACAGTTATAATGTTCAGCGCTATCACCACACACAAATTCCTGCTGAACCTTCACTCTAGAAATACAGCTGCTCTGCCCCTGCGTTCCCTAAACGAACCTGACGATCTTGGCAGCCTGACCACCGCTCACAAAAGGTCCGGCGCTCAAAGCTGCTTTCACCTGTGCGCAGCGATTAGCACGTGCCCATTAGCAGAGCTCCTCCTCAAGGGAGAAGGGAGGGTGGGGGGGACAACTCTCAGCAGAAACAGCATTTTAATTATCGTGTAAGCCATTTCACTTCTTGTGGTATTTATGGAGGTTACAGACACCATTTAGTATAATGTTAAAGTGAGATAAACATATCTGCAGAGGGCTGTGCACACTGTATTTATTTACTCACTACACATGTGAGATGTTTCTCATTGCCTTGAGCTATAAACAGTAATGAAATTTCAAAGCTCCTGGAATTTACCAGTATACACACACATTTACACACACTTATTTTTTTTCTGTTGAAGTCTTTCACTTACTCAGTGCGTCTGCTTTTCCACGTCGAGATACTCACTAAGCTCTGAATAAAAACTCTATTATTATATGGAGCTAGTTGCATGAATACCCTGCATTCCAAAAATGCACATGACTGTGCTTAATGGAAAGCTGCCTGCCAGCGAGGAGATCCCAGTACTGTTGAAGATTGGGAAGGTCTACACCCAAGATCCACCAACAAAGACAAGTCAGGAGAAACCCTTCTCTATTTTCCTCTGCTTTCAACAAGGATCATCTTTGCAGTTCAAGATCTACACTGCTCAACGAGATGGCCAAAGCCTTCCCAACGTCTAGGACACTGGGTGAAGCATAATTTAGCGGACTGCAAACCGCCTGCTAAGAGCAGAACTGTCCCGGCATGCCCATGGCTCTTTATGCTGCTCCTTCTAGTTGCTAAGTGTGCAAGAAGATCCTTAAATTATTCTCTGGCCTAAATGTTTAGAGAATGCTCTTCTGACTGTAAACAGTGTTATCTGAGACATATGGATAGTAAAAGGCTGGGCAACATATGAAATACAGATAATTTCTCATAACGTGCCCTAATCAGGGCACTGGTACAAACACAGGGACCGAGGTTCCCTGCCTTGGAGGGCTTACAGTCTAAAAGGGACAAAACCAATGGATAAGTAAGCAGCGTGGCCAAGATGAGAGCAAGCATGTTAGTCCTCTGTAAACTTCTGCTGGGCTTCCCTAGACACAGCTTTCTCTTCTCTGTAGACAAGTTCCAAATGTTGTCTCTGCTCCTGATGCCTTTTTGCAGGCACAGCTCCCGCTGAGCTTCGGTGAGAGTTCCCCGTGTGAAGGAGAACCAGGTCAGGCCTCAAATCATTAAGTTTCTGCAGCTTTTTGTGGGAAAGCCGCCATCTGTGAAGTGAACAAACATGCCAGACACCTCTTTTCTAGAGTGGTTCAACCTGGGCAGGCTGTATACCTTGTGCTGTGGCTCAGCCTAGGGCACACGCCACAGCCAAAAAGCAGGTGTGACATACTTTCCGCATGCCGCAGACATGCATGCGACACGCCACAGCTTCTTTCATGTTTTGGTTAAACAGCTTCCAGGGTAACTTTTTCAAAGGCACCTACATCAGCTGGGAACCTACAGCCTCCTGTTGATCCTCAGTGGGACTCAGGCACCTGTGAATATTTCACACTATTATTTTAGAGGTATTTGCATCAGGGACCAAATTAATGCCTGGTACAATGCCATCGGATTTACTTAGAAGTCAGATTTGGTCTGCACACCCCAAAAGCAGTTGGTAGTTCCAGAATATCCGTCATTTCAAAGGACAAAAATATGTTTCCAACCGGTATTTCCCCATGATCTCCCAAAGCTCAAATGCACTGCTCTAGACAAGTGAGATCAGCAGTCCCCTAAATAACTGAAAACATGTACGGAAAAGTTCATCTGTCACAGTATGTCAATTTTTAAAAAATAGAAGTAACTTCAGGCAAGGAGTGTCCCGATTTCATAAATTAGGCTTAATTGTTAGTATCTACACTGAGCTCTTTGTATTAACAGCCGTGTGCTTAGAAAAAATAATAAATCTGTATCTTGATATCTCCAACATCTCAGCAGGCTGCTACATGTCACTCATTCCACTGAAAGCCTGGTCTTCATTTAACCTGATGTCAGCGCAGCAGAAGCCGCTCAGGCAGGCAGTAACCCTCTGCCCTCCCTCCGGGCTGGGCCGCCCCAGCGCCCCGGGGAAGCGCTGGGCAGCAGACACAGCAAGCGGCAGGAGGATCAGCTAGACCCCTGACTTGAGCCTGCTTGAAACAACTTACTCAAGTTTTGCCGAAGAGACAGCGCCCGAGAATCTCCCCACGGAGTTTTGACCCTTGTATTATTTCCCCAGAAATACATTACACTATTTTTTTTCCTCTTCTGACAAATTTATAAGAAGAGACTAACTTTGCAGTCTCACTGACGGTGGTGAGAGCTTTGCTCCAGCAAAGAAAGCAGAATTTGACCCAAAGCAGTATATTTACTAAAGCAGTATATTTACTAAGACAACTTTCAATTCTATCCTGGGGAACTCGGATAACATTTAAAGTGGGTATTTTTAATAAACATTTTCTGGCTGAAGCCTTGGCTCTCAGCAGCCAACACAAAACAAAGCACAATGCCTCTGCCTTGCCAGCCCTGCAGCGCAGTGCCGGAGGCACGTGTGAAAGTCATCCTGACAGGAGAAGTTTTACTTCCCTTCTTGGCAGGGAGCGCTGGGTCCCACGACCCAGGCAGAGCGCTTTGCTGTCTCTAGGCACACACAGCTACGGGAGCACTTAGTAAAAAGGGAAAAGCACAACGCCTCCTTCCACGCCAGCACCGCAGCGAATATCGACAGGGCTCTGTTACAGGAAAGTGGCAGCGCCCCGCAGAAAGCAGCACTTAGCAAACGTATCAAAAGAGAAGAGACCCGGGCAGAAAGGTAGAGGCGTGCAGGAGAACAGCACAGAAAGCAAAGTCAAACCACTCCTTTTGCAGAATGCGCACTGCATCTCCCCTATCGCATTCAAAGGTCAAACTCTGCAAATCAACAGATGGAAACACAAAAGCTTTGTAACTAGAAGCCAAAAGGCCTCACCCGAAACCCACCGAAATTGATGGGCATGTTTTCATTGATTCAGTGGATTCATCCCACTTAAATTCAGCCATCTAAGAGTGAAGTGTTCGTTTTGGCACCTAAATCCCTAGCCAGTGGGGAAAGAAAGGGATTTCCGCAGTACAATTCATTCCATATATTTTTTTTTTTATTGCCTCAAAGAGCGGGAGACTGCTCTTAGTTTTGCTGTCAATTAAAAGAATTTAAGCCTTTTCAGCCAGTACTTCCAGCTGTATTTTTCTCCTCCACACACAGCAGTTTTCTCTCTTTAAGTTAAAACAGGGAGTAGGGGGGAGAAGAACGTATACTACTATGAGTTCCCATAGGATAAAATTACAGACCCATGGTACAATTCCAGCTATGTCATTCTCCCTGGCTCGATTTTTTAACCTCAGTAATCCTACCAGCACATCCTTCTCCTGGCAGCAAAACTACCTTACTTATCCTGTAACGTGCCTTCAGCTGCCCTCAGGCAGATGTGAACTGTAAACAAACTGTCAAAGCTGTAACTGGGATATCCAGTTAAAGCACTTTAAATAAAAACTTGGACCATCTAGAGAAAACAGACCAGAGTAAGGAAAGAAAAGACTGTGGAAAGGTGCTTTTCTAACAGAACTAGTCCTTCTGCACTCGGAGGCTGGACCGCCTTTTCATGTGCTGTCTGCATAGCTTAAGAAAGCTCCTGCATTACGACACCTTGCCTGTTCGGAGTGGATGCCAAAACCAAACGCTGCTGCAGTCCTGCAGTACCAAGTTCCCAAACTGATGGAAGTGTAGTAAAAATCTTTGGGCAAAGAACTGTGTTAGAAGACAGATTTCAAATCTCCACTATGCTGGCAGGTATCTTCAGCAACTCCAGCAAAGTTATTGGTGTTACATACATTCCCATTAATTTAGCCAAGTTGTGCTGGCATTTAAAACAAGAAAAAGCCAAAATGTTTAAAATATTTAGAAGGCTCAGGCTATTAGAAGGTATCTTATCGTGTTTCTCTACTGCAAAAAGCTGGATTTCTTGCCAGTTTTCCCTTAGATTACACAGTATGGATAATTCACAGAACATGCCACTGAAGAGAAGGCTTGCAACAGAAATGCAGTACTCCTTCTGAAACAGTAAAACTATCAACGCTCTAAACAAAGCAATTTCACAGCAGAATACGATGGGTATCATGCAGAACAGTACGGCTTTCTGTTCTGTAAGGATGCAGAACCAAGAGAAGCCCTTTTACTGATCAAGACCAGACATTAGAGACACACTCAAGTGACCATAAATGAATTCTACTTAATTTGCTAAAGCAGAGCACTATTTCTGCTCATGTTGCTAGTTCTCCTCTGGGGCATGGGACAGCCTTCTCCTAAACTCTGGGGCTTCCCCAGTTGCTCAGAAATACAGCTTGCTAAATGTGAGAGAGTAAGATGGTCCAACTTTTCAGCTTTTATTATAAGCCTGATACCAGAGCTAGAAAGAGCTATTTGGTGGCACTTTTAAGAGCTTAACCCTGAAGCCCTTACTCAGACAAAACTCCTGTTCTGAGATGTATGAGCTTTCCAAGTAAGGCTAATGGAAGAGATACGGAAATGGGCTAAGCACCTGCAACTCACATTAGGATATTCAGCCCCTTTCCAGTTTTGTCCTTAAGTAATTTTTTTTATTCACGGATCAGAACACATTGCTGCAAATGGCTGATAGTTAAGCTGCCACTTTTCTTCTTTCTGAGAGACCACTGCCTGCTCGGGGCAGCTGTAACTCCTGATCTGTTTGCAACCCAAATTCTGCTGCCCTGGGAGGAAAACATGCAATGACTGGCCTGTAACTTCAAACCTCCTTCTGCTCCCTCAGCTGTGCCGAGCACAGCTCCTGTACACGTCAGCCACTGGCGAGAGAAGGGACAACACAAGTGAGGGAAACCCACAGGGCTACCTTCCCTTGCTGTGCAAATCTTAAACCTGCCGGGGCTTGAGCACAGCGTGCTTCCCCCTCTCCCTTGATTAAACAAGGAAGAGTATGAGACTTTGGGATCTTCTTGCCCCAAAAAAAGCCATGGAGGAAAACCAGAGAAAGTCTGCTGCTGCAGAAGAGCATGCTGCCTCGCCTATACATTTTGTCTGACAACCAGCTGCAAATGAAATTCCACATTTCACTTTTTAAACGGAGAAAATTAAGGTTAATGACAGCTCACACTCTTGAAAAGGTTAACTAAGTAACTGTTTTAAAATCCTTTAAACTTACTCTTTAAAGAAAATAGTTACATAAACCACTGAAAGTCAGGAAATTCGAGCTCAAACGTGTCAGTCTGTGGTTAAAAAATGGAAAGTGACAGGAGCTAGGGGTTGAAGAACATTCTCTTTAGCTTGCAGGGCTTCTACCTTGTGTTGTTTCCTTTGTTACTGGGGGAAGAAGATATCAAAGCAGTGCTATTTCTTAAAAGGTTCCATTTCATGGTGTCTTTTGATAGCCTGCAGGGTTAGGTGGATGGTCTGTGATTTAGCCTACTTTTCTATCTGTTAAAATGTCTATGTTAGGAGAGTCTGTATTGTGTACTGCTACTGCTACGGAACATGAAATAAAACATAACTTTTACACAGGAAGGGCCAGAAACACAGTTTTTACATAACCTCTTAGGAGGCACTGTTCAAGCAAATGCTCAGTACAGATCATCAGTTTGCCTCAGTAAGGGCTTCATATGTTATCCCAAAATCTTAACCCTTGGAAAAGTTCCTAGTGAAGCCAAAAACCCCCTACAGTGAAACTAAGTACTGTTTGAGTGACAAAAATATAGGATGCAAAAATAGAGGTTGTAACTAACTCCATCAATATACAGCAGAAGTATTTGGGATCCATGCAATGGAGTGTAAGAGTAATTCCACCCCAAGGCAACACATGGGTTTGGTGAGACATCTCCTATTCCTGCCCTGCCAGTAAGGGAATACCCAATGATGTGCAGGATAAAAAAGCTGGCTGAACCTTCATACCTTACCAGAAAGATCCTACACACAGCTGCCTTTACATCCAATGTTTTAGAGACTTAACCAGGGGACCAAATGTGGATGAAGCCCAAACTCATCTTGCGTTTATGAAGGCTTTTTCTCCCATTGCTCTAGTGCAACACCGATACCACCACATTCCCAGTGCAGTCATACGCAGCTACCTGACCTCACATGCCAAATGATGCGACATGCTGTTCCTCCTAAGTGATGGTGAATCATATCATGCTATCTGATATGGTCAGCAACTAGCATTTGCTAAGTTGCATATGATCAGTTGTGTGTCCAAAATGCAGTAAAAAATATCCTTAGAGATTGCTTTGAACATTTGTTACTCTTGCCTTCTGTGGAATTTAACAGCAAAACAATAAGTAATCAGGCACTTTGGTGAGCTTACTGCTAGCCAAGTATCTTTTTCTTTATGTAAATACAGTGCAAATTATTAAACCAATGAAAAATACTGCAGGCTGGTAAACATGCTACCTCCCTCTTATTTAAGTTCAAATTGAAAAGAAAATGGAATTTTAAGAACCAAGCTTATTAAAAAAAAGGTAAGCTTAGCGCTCTCTTTCTTCTCTTCCCTCTCCATGCACACATCCCAAGGTGCAGAGTGCGCTATAATTCTTACTTGGACCGAAGTCAATGAGAATTTACCTAAGTAAGAACAGCTGGATCAGGCCCAAAATATTAACAGCAGCAATGTAAACATACGCAGACACAATTAAATCTCACCCAGATGAGTTCCCTCGTGCTTAACGTCTACCTGCATGGAATCAATAGATTTAGTCCAGTGTTTGCGTGTGTGTCAGTGTGTGTGTACATGTATGTGGGCGATATACCAAATTATAAACTTGAAAGCATAGAACAAGAACATGCTAGAAACCGATCATGCACAAAATGCTACCAGTCAAAATCAAGCGCAAACGCTAACATTTTCAATTGCTTTGCACCCTTTAGACACGCTGTGTCCTCATCACAGACGGCTGGCTCCACTGGGACGGAGGGGTAGAAGCATTAGGGCAGAGCAGCAGCAGTTTCTGGCATGAAAGAGAGCCAGACCGCCTGTCCTTTCTGAGCTGTACGGGGCCAAACTCCCCGCTGATGTGAGGCCAAGCAAGTCTTACCAGGGATGAAGCAGATTTTCCCTTTTAACCATGACACTAAGTCCAATTCAGAGAGCACAGCGATCAGCAGACAAGACCGCATTGTTATAAAAAGTCTGTATTTCATTCTGAAAAAGCTGTCTGTGCCATCATCACAGAAACCTCTAGCCTCATTCTTCATTTAGAATTACAGTTCAGCTGAGACACTCAATATTTCTTCATCAGCAGAGAGAATAATTTTACCTTCATACTGGTACACTGAGAAGCTGCATAGTAAGTATTCATTTTGGGGCTTTTTACAACTGCTTTTTCTTTCAGTTCAACACGTTTTAAACACTGAGATGAGTTGGGAAGTCATTTTTAACTTAGTTCCTACTTAAGGAAAAGTCATCTTTATTCAAACAATGAGAATACCTGACTTTTAACATGCAAAATTAAAGGCTTTTCCTGAGCAAGGGCTGAAGAATGGGATCCAGAATGGCCCACAAATTGACTCATGTAAACTTCCTGAACGAAATCAGTGTGAGTGAGGAGAGAAGGTTAAACAAGCCCTTTCATTTACAGCAGCTTGTAAAGAAATTATTTTTAGACAGCAGGAAACATAACGCCAAATATCAAAAGATCCTATTTTACAGGCACCTCAGATGCTTTGTTTTTATTACAGGCAGAGCGCAGGCAACTACCACTAACAGGACAACCCACAACATGCTCTGTTTGGCTACCTGAAAATGTTGCCCTAAACCTATGGAGGAGCCCAGAGTTTGGCTGGGATATGGCCCGGCGTCGGCGCGCTGGCAAGGCAGCGGGACCAGCAGCCTCCTCCCACGCGCCCACTGGCAAGCTCCAGTGACCTCCTGCAAAGCTGGAGCCCTGGGCTCCTTTGCCACGAGATGGTCTGAATTCAGTCCCTAAATAACTGCCCCAACCCAGGGGCAGTGGATCTTCAAACCCTCCTCTTAGCCGTCTACCACGGTGCAGCTAAGAAACACGGTTCATGAGGAAAGAGCAAATAAGCAATAGGGAGTGTGAGTCTTTGGTCCCTACGGGCACCCCCATGCAGAGGGGAGACACAACCCCTGCTCTCCAAAGCTGATTTTCATCAACTGATTCTGCAGTGCAAAATACAAACCTACTCCCTGGCAAACTGCACCCAACGGGGACACGTGTGAAATTTTAGTATCTCACTTTATAATGCCTGGCTAGAGATGCTTAATCAAAGCCATGTTTTGTTCATTCCTTCCTACTGTAAATAACCCCTAATGTAAGTTCTGGAAAGAGGGAGGAAAGAAAGGATTAGCCATGTGGACTATCTGTCTGAAAGTCAGGAACGATGGAGTTATAATTTCCTTTCTGACAGTGACTCACCCTGGGGAATGAGGCACCTTCCCTCAATTTGCCCGTGTGGAGAAGGGATATAAAATCATTTATTCACCTACCTTAAAAATACGGGCTGTGTTGGAAGGATAATTCATCATTACCTACACTGTGTTTTGTTCTCTGAATGACTTCTGTCCACAAGAGTTGACAAAGGGTCTGCTAATGACTTTGGTGGGCTTTGGATCAGGCCCTATGTAACAGCTATATTTTTAAGTACAGCAAATGTGTATGTTTGTTAACACTTGGAAAAAGCATAAATATGTAAACCCCAGCCTCACATCTGGCTTACATTAAAACAGCCGCACATTCAATTCCATTCAGAGATCCCAAGACGTACAACTGGACATAAGCATTACAAGGTCCCTTCAGACCACCGTTTACAACCACATTTCTGGTGCAACCTCAGCCTGCGCTCAGGGAAAGGCCACCCTGGTGCTTGGTTGGATGGGCAATACTGACTGCACCTGCGCGGGCCAGCCGGGCAGTGCTAGAGTCTCTGCTCTCGCCCCGAGGCCCGTGACAAGTTCTGGCCACCGCCACACCACCCAACTCTCCTGATCTCCAGAACAGCAGAGCTGCCTACAAGAAGCCTATAGGAAAAAGCCCCTGGCCCGCGTTAATTCTCAATCCTACCAATTTAACACTTGAGCCAGCTGAGTTAGAATGCCCCACACACAGGGCTTTGCCCTGTTTAGCTTCCTGGCACAGCTGTAGCCTCCGCGTCCTCACACTCCACAGGTAAAGTGAGATCCTCAACCACATTCATGTGAACGTTTCATTCTTCCATACTCAAAACTTAAAATCAGTCTGTGAGAAAGCAATATATATATATGTACTTTTATACACAAAGGGTATTTTTATCAAAGAATAGTTACCTGTAGAGGACTAGCTAGTGGCCTGTTCCTAGGTACTGCAAATGTTTTGTGAAAACTACCATCCTCTTCAGACACAGGCATCTTTAAAATGGAGCTGGTAAGAAGATTCTGAACAGGAGAAGAAAACAAAAAGGGTCTTCAGTAACTCAAGAGAACAACCTGAATTTGAACATATTAAAAGCAAATTCAGCCTGACTGCAGAGGGTGCAACACCGGGCACAGCCACAGACAGCGCTCAGCCTGGGAGCAGCCCTCAGCCTGGAGTCCCTGGGACTTGGCTTTGCAGGGGCATTGTCACGTGCAAAGGTTTTTCATCCAGTGAAACTCCCAAGTGCAAGAATAACAGTAACGTTGAGGAGTCCTGGCGAAGCAAAGGGAACTATGCTTATGCAAGGTCTCCTTTGCACAAAACAAAACAGACTCTCTCTTTCTTTTACCAGTTTTAACTCCGTGACCTAGTCATTTCTATACACAGGTGCAGGCATCCTCCAAGTGCAGGCTCATTACAAAGACTGTGGGCTGCACAATGACTGCAACTTCTGCTACCTTCTATAGGCATTACAGTGATCTAATTAAGAGTGGGATTTTTATGCTTATGCTTAATATAAGAAAATGATACGGAAATAATGAAAAATGCCTACTTGTGAGGAAGGTCAGACAAAATATTTTCTCTCTTGCATTTAAGAACTGAACAGGGATGTAAAACAGCAAAATCATTTGGCGGTGTGAAAACTTGCACTTACTGGCACATCTTCCATAGTAGATGCATGTGTAAAGAGCTGAGTGTTCAGGTTTTCTCCTTCCCAGTGATTCGAGCAAAAAAAATTTCCAGCTTTATCTGTTGGAGACTCCACCTGAAAGCAGGAAAGGCACCATGATAAAAACCAGTACCTAACTGACTGGAAGGAGATTTATCTGTCAGTTGCTTAATAAATTGAATAAATATTCTTCCCAGCTGTGCATAATGCATGTTTACAGTACTGTCTTTTAGAGCACCCTTGCTCTTTGCAGAAGAAAAAAGTTCAAGGTTCTCAAAAAAAATCCCCACCTAATAAAACTTTGAATACTTGCACTCAGCGCTCTGTCAGTATTCAGGAGTTTAATCCCCTAGAAAGGATTGAGAATATATGTATTTTTAGAACTTTAGTGACAAAGTAATATAATGCAATGTCCTCAAATGTTCAGGTTTCTAAGTCACTCCATGGAGCTTTGTCCCCGTGGGGTTCTTCTATAGTTTTCACCAATATTAGAAAGATTCAATCCAAATTCCTGTCTAATTTTTTTTTCTTTTTAAGTTTCAAATGAAAACTGCATTAGAACAGCCCAAGCAAACCCCTGCTGAAAACAGCAGAAAGACTTCTATGGAAATCAATGGGAGATGAATTAGGCATGCCTAGTATACTATATAGAACCAACACTAAGATCTTGGGGCTCACATGAAAGAAAAACAGACACAGCTATTTAACAGAACAGGTATTGGTATAAGTTTCTCAGCAAAGAGTGCTGAATTAAATTGCCTCAGGTAAGTTTGAGATTTACCTCTTGTTTGATTTTCTTCAGCAAAGGGGGTCCACTTTCATGTAGCCCAGCCACTATTGCAGATTCCTCCGACTCCTGCTTGATAACGTCCTGCAGATCTTCTACAAGATGAGTCGGAGTTTGAGGCTGAAAGGAAGAAATGTTATATCCAAGTCCCAGAACATCCCTCTGCACTAATATCAAAGCAACTTTTATCATTGTTTCCTTCTTACCAGCACCTTCAAAGGACCATATTTGATTTCCTGAGCTGCAAGTGCGTTTTTGAATGGAGTGGGTGTTCTTGGAGAGCTCTCTAATATCGACCTCTTGATTGCTGGAGTTCTGAAACTTTAAAAGAGGGAGAAAAACTTTAAAGGAACATGCTTGGAAATATTACGTCTTTACAGAAACACATGCATACAGGCAGTGGCTGCTGTGAGACTCAGACAAATATTTTCCTGCAATCCTATAATCCATTTTGCTTTTCTGGCAGAACATCTGTTTAACTGTGATAAGGTGGAATGGCTTTATTTAAAAAACTGGTGAGTCTATATGCATGATTGTTCTGTATTAATAACCCACCTCCACAGTTATAAAGTGGAAGTTTTACTCCAAACTAAGAAAAATCTGAATGTGTTAGCAAACAACGCTGCAGGAAGCATACAGTGACCCAGCACTTTGGTTGCATGCAAACCTGAAGAAATGAACCCTTGTGAATCCGACAAGACAATGTGATAACAGACTTACACGTGATTTTCCTTCTGAGCTTTGAAAGTCTGGTCCCTGTGGAACGGCGTGGTAACAGCCATCTTATGGCCACACACCGGCGTGGAAGTTAGCGCAGGGTTGTCCAGGTTCAGGTTTTCGTGATTGGACGATGTGTTTAAGAACTGCAGGTAGGGAAAGGAAAAATCAACAGGGACATCCAGATTACAACGTTGACTTCTTAAGTTGATGTTACTGAACAAAAGAAAAAGAGATTATTTCCTTCTGATTGACATAAGTGATTCTCCTGACGCTACGATGCACGTAGGTGTATATGGGGTACCTGACTACATGGCAAAACAGTACTCAACAGTTTGGCTGGAGCACTCAGGAAGCCAAAACGAGCATTTCTAGAGAGGGAAGTTATAAAGAAAATGACACTCTGTTCCAATGAGAAACACTCTCCACCACTTTAAGAGCCACATCTTAAAAGCCTGATTTGGATTTTCTGCAAATAAATTTTAATTAATATTAAGAGCAGTGTGCCCAAGTAAGAACTGGGGGAAAATGTTTCCCCCAGGAAAAGGGGATGTTTCAGGAATAAACCCACAGGAAATGGGGCTAAATTCCACAAAGATTTATATAGGGAATCTAGTTGCTTTTAAGGCAGTGAATAAAGTGTTTATGACAGGAAAATAAATTTCCTATCATCTCTCTCAAAACAAAGTGCTCTGTTTTCACAGCACAGAATGAAAACTGCCACCTGTGATGGGTGCGTGGAGTGTTTTGGAATGGAAATCACTGGCCAAAAAGGAGGCAGCAGTATTAGTTTGGAGAAAATTGCTTTTGCACGAGTTCTACCTAGTAACCTAAAATGTTGTTTCCATTTCTAGTGTCTACAAATCTGTGAGCATCGTGGTATCCTTTATTCTGACAACGATTCACCGTATTACCTTCTAGACTCAACTTGCATTGGATTAAAATACACTTTATAGAAATATGGCATGTAAGAAAACACGGATTTCACTGGATAAATGATATATGATTAAAATACCTAATAGGTAATGGGAGATACAGTGGGAGATCATTACATGCAAACTTTTAGTATCCTTCATGAAATAGTGTTTCTCTGACTTCAAGGACTAAAGCCAAACCAAGGCAAAACCAACACAAACAGACAAACAAAAAAACCAAAACACTTTTAAATAGTGCTACAGCTGTGAAACAAAGCAACCATCAACAGGAATTTGCAAGTGCATGCCAGGCCATTTTAACAGGCCATTTTCCTCCTCATTCCTATTCCGCTCCACCCCACAAGGCCCGGGTTGAGCATGGCGAGCCGTGATTTGAATTTTCTGGTTGTTGTCAGTTTGTCTCACAACCTGAATGCTATTTAAATGCAGTTTGGGGTTTTCTAGGTCAATGAATCATACTGTAAGTGGACAGAGATGGAAAGTATTACAAATGAAATGTTAAACTCTAGTAGTTGAAGGAGTTAACAGCAAGAGCAAAGCAGGCAATCGTATTCCCCTACAAAAATGATCCAAATAAAAAAAAAAACCCAAGCCCCACAGATGAATTTAAAATAAAGAGAATCAACAGTTAGCTTGCTGATGATCTAAACTCAGCGGTGAAAACTAAGAGCAGTGAGAAGATTCAAACACGGAGTGAAATCAACAAGCGCAACGGTAATTAGTCATTTGTTCCAAAGGATTAGTTTCTAAATTGTTAAGGCTGGGGTGACTTTTGAGAATTAGTAACATCTGTGCAGAAGTCTTGATCTACCTGCGAGGGAGAGAAGGGCAGGCTTTTGACAGGGGAGCGCTTAGGAGGAGTTGAGCTGCTGACGTCAGCTAGGACCAAGGTGCTACCGTGGCCACTGGCTAAGGGGCTGGAGTGCCCTCTCCTTTTGCGAAGAAGGACCCACGGAGCCTCGCTGCCCTGTGAGGCAGATAAGGACTTTGGTGAGCCAGGAGAGTCCTGACTCGACATGATTTTGCTCAGGTTTGTGATGGGGTGTCCTTGAGGTCTACAAGCACTGGCCCCTCTTTGCTGAAGCTGCGCAACTTTGCCTGAGGGAGCTTTGCTAGCCGAAGTGTCTGTGTCTTCAAAGAATTCAAAACTGCTGAGATCACCCCATGATGAAGGATCCTGAAACAACGTGGGAGGCACGGAGCTATAAGACAGTGTATAGTGCCACCTCATGAAAACACAGCGCTAGGATATGCCCGTAACCACCACCACCACCAAAGTCCTTCCCAGTTCAATGCAGCTTGACCCTGTTTATTTGAGTAGTAACACTGTGAATGCTTATTTGTGTTTTCAGTATATACCTTGATCACATCAAACTGTCTAACATCCTAGCAGTGCTGCTGGCAACTGAGTCCCTAAAGAAACAATGAGTCAAATGATGTCCTTACTATCTACTTGCCCAGGGTTTTCTGCTTGGTATGAAGACAGTGCCTTTCGCTACCAAAAAATGTGTGTCTTGGGCTCTAAACCAAGACCGGTCTCCTCCTAACCTGCACGCCTGCTCTGGACGTGCTGAATGGGACGTGATGCTGCATGAAGCAGACATCTCGGCTGCTGAAGGAGGGTGCCACCAACAAACGTATTTCAATGTGCCACTTCTGTTACACATAGTATCCCAGAGACCACGATAAGAAAAACCCATGTCAATGTCAGTCAGCTACTTGGCATTTAAAATGCGTGTTTCCAGTTCTTCACATATGACAGGGCAAGTTCCTTAAACTTTGAGAAGCAGCTATTGAAGCTACAACAAAATCTTTTAGAAAATGATGCAGATACATGAGCAGCCACACATAAACCTACAGCATGTGTCACTTCAAATATAAAGAAGTATCATCTCATTGTTTCAAATCTTTCACGGTGTCTCTGATCTTGTTTTAAGGAGACTTAATATTGAGAGATCGTTTCAAGCTCCTATTGTGCAGTTTGCTAAAAATCACACTCCCATACCAAGATGTAGCAGGAAAGGGAGAAACCCACAAAAAGCATACGCATCCACACTCGAGGGCTTCATTTATGAGCAGCCGCGTTTTGTTATGTCAGAAGCTAAGCTTCAGATCTTGTAGCAATTAGAAGTTACTTGGAAAAAAAAAGAAACACATTTAGGACTGTCCCAGTTCCTCTCCCCTTACTCCTTGACCACGCACGAATCCACCTGAGGCGGCAAGTCTACTTACGGAGTCTATTAACTGGAGTGTTTCTGCAAATTCTAAGAGATTCTTAACATTATCCAGGATGTTGCTCTGGTGAACAATCATGCACCGGGCAGGGGATGCACTTTCCTCAGGTAAGCAACCATGATCCACCGGTGGAGATGGAGTACAGTGGTGATGTTCCCCCAAACAGGAAACGGGTGCATTGTCACCACTGGTCCTGGTACTGTCAGCAATCGTGGTGCTGTGCCAGCCAGGGTAGTTTGATGTGTGGTTCTGTGTCTAAAGGAAGAAGAAAAAAAAAAAGGAGGGGGGAAAAAAGGCAGAAGGAACTTAGCAATGAAATTGCACAAGGTGTCAGATGCCACTGGAGGAAAGATAAAAGTAGTTGCATCATCATCTAAAAGCTTATGCCTATGAAACAATTGTCAAGATGTTTCCTTTCATCAGTGCAAGATCTCGTTTTAAGTAATATCGGCATTGTATTTGTTATCCCAAAGTTACCTCATAATTTACTTCCAGGATTATGAGCATATATCATTACTAACACATAATCAATTCATACTGTGTTACTCCAAAAGCTCAAAAAGTGTCTGCAAGTCATTTTCTGTGAGAAGCAAGAAACGGCAGGATTTCCCTACTGAGCGCTCAGCACTGTAGAAGGCTAAAGGGTTTAAGAGTTAGAGTTGCTTTTGTTTGCTTATCTCCTTTTCTTCTTCTATCCCTGTCTAATGCTACAGCTTACACCAATGCAATGAAGAGGCTGTCAAATCAACGTGGTTAGGAAAGCAGAAGAACAAATTAACAGAAGTTTCTTTCCAGTGTGATCATGCAACAGAAGAAATTGCAAAACATTAACTAAAGTTAAAAAGTGGCCAAACTAACGTATCATGCATGCAGTTGTTTTACTATTAATTTAAATATTACCCAAAAAAAGGATCTGCTGGCTATCACCTATCTTCAAAAACGATTTGGGGATTCTTGGCTTTGGTGATGGTGTTAAGTAATTATGTAAGGGTTTTTCACACATTAACATCCAATGGCATATACAGCGAAGTGTGAGAATTCAGTAATAGCCAGCATTTGCTCCACACATGCGGTTATGAAGAATCTAACATTATTCGGAGAAGTAAAACAAACTGTCAAACATGCACCAGGTCTGAAGCTTACAAAGTGTATAAAACACAGCTGAAGGAAAGAATACAACAGAGAAGAAAAATCTAATGTACAGGCACTACATTTTCATCACATGAACCATTGCACACTTTCAGAAATGCAGATCCCATTGATTTATGATCTGTGGGATTTTTCATTTTCGTACAATCATCATGTTTCCAATATTACATCACGTTACAGAGCCCAGCCCTGCTCCCACTTTGCGAAGTAAAATACCTGCAAATTGTTTGCTTTTTTTTTTCAATAAAAGAATTTACGAAGCAAATACAGATTATGTATGTGCTATGTTTCATCCTTTTAAAACGGAAATATAGAGCCTTGATTAGTATCGAAGGCAGAGGGGGAGTAAAAAGTTAAAAAGACAAGCACTGGGGTAATGCTGCTATCCCTCCATCCAAGCACACAGTGACAATCTTACTGGTAATGCCTGCTGCCCTTTCAGTTCATTCTCAGTCGACATTAGTAGCAACTCTAATTCCTTTATTCGTTTTTCTTTCTCAGGGTCTTCATCATTATAGTGTCTCTGAAATTAAGAGTTAAGGGAAAAGAAAAGATAAAGGTCTGATAGGATGTAGCAACTAAAATGCTTATGGCTTGCCGTCCTGTGGTTATAACAGCCAAATTAGACCCAAAGATGAAACAAATGTCAATTGTGTTTTCCACTACCAAAGTCCCTGCTGAATTTCAGTACAGACATTTGAAACGGAGAAAGTGAAAGCTATCACACCAGATGTCAACTACTGTGTTTTAAATCCACTTCAGAAGAAGCAATTATTAGCCACGTTAGAACTCCCCCACCTTCCCCATTTTCTCTCTTCGCCACACTTATTACATTAAAGTGCTTCCTTAACGTACGATGTCTGCATTTTGACTTATCAAATGTTTAACAAATCGACTCTTGAAATGAGGTTCAAGTTATCTACCTGAATAGCTGCAGCAGCTGGCTGAGGAACATTGACAATATTTACATGCAGTGCTACTGGATATGGGATCTGACCAGGGACCTAGGCCAAAAAGCAAAAGACACTAAAAGTTATTATTTCTATCATATTGTCTGCCTGAATTGTGAATTTGTGTTAAACACACTTTGGTTTCAGGTACTTAATATTTATAGTCCATGGAGATGAAACAGCAAAAAACCCAACAATGTTTACAAGAAAAGTAAACAGTTTTTAGGAATATGACAGTAAGCATTACAGAGGAAGAAAGAAAATTCATATATGAAATATCTACCCTTCCTGAATGAGAAAAGATGAATAATTTATAGATGCATTTGTAAGATTTTTCTAAATTGAAGTGAAAATGCAAAAGATGCAATTTATTATCATCTAAAACTCTACAATGTAACTGTCTGAAGCAGCAGCCTGTTTCATTATTAATCATTAATAGAAAAGGAATCAGATTAAAAACAATACTTGTTTACTTGGTTCCGACGGGCAACCCACAAACAGAATATTACTGAAGGGAACGTGGGAAATTTTGACATAGAACACAGAATTAACCAGATTCAACTGATTTTAAAGAAATGTAATATTCACCACTATAAGAACACTACTGGAAACACGTTCGCTGCTTACAAGATGTTAAAACCCCTGAACCCGATTCCACCACCTGAATGTCAGCAATCAACTTGAAACGTACATATTTTCATCACTGAATGAAGTCAAAGTCAAAGAAGTCCTCGCCTGACATCAAACACATACGAGTCCACCAAAACTGGGAGAAAACCCTTCATGATTCCTGAAATCGGGTATGGCTAAATTGCACCCGCCTGTTCAACAAAGCAAAACAAAACAAACCCCCACGTTTTCAGGCGCTTACGTTTTGTGGCTCAGAGATGTGGTAGTAGGGGTAGTCACTGCTCAGCGGAGGTTGGCTGGCTACTGGCAGCTGTGCAGAAGGTGGGTTGTGAGCAAAGGCCATCAAGTGGTTGCTCTTCTGAAAGCCAGTGGCTGCTGAGGAGTGACAGGCTTTGGAGGACTCCTGCAGGTAGCCCTCCTGCTCAACCTTTCGGCGCATGGTGGAATTCCAGTGGTTCTTGATAGCATTATCAGTTCTGCAACAGAAAAACATACGTTGAGAAGTTTTAAAAACGAGCGTTTCCAATTCAGACAGATTAATAGGCAGGAAACTGCTGTTAGCATTTCTGTTTAAACCTTGAGCAGTTCTCTGACCTTCCCCCTGCCCCCACCTTTACAAATACTACTCTCAACTTCTCAGGGAAGATCCTCAGTATAAAAGGTAGGCAAAAAGACAAATGCGGTACGGTTGTTTATGTACTTTTTAAAGAAATTTCTAAACCTTAGGTCCTCAAACTGTTAAGAAATTACTAACTTCAGCTTCACCTCATTCCCATGAGGTGAGGTGACAGCAAAGGCTAACACCCTTTTGAGGCGACCTTAAAGGAGCGCCAACATCATCTTCCTAAGTCTTAATATTACAGTGGAGTTTTATTGTGTCTCATTGCTGGAAAGAAAGGCTGTGGAGAACAGCTGTGAAAAGACTAACTTCCAAGCAACGTTCCAACTGGCCACCTAGACAATGACAACATCATGCTATACACACAAATTCAGTAAACAAAGGTGTTGGGATTTTTCTTAGCTGCAGAAGAACTGAGATTCAAATTCTCACATACATGAGTCAGAAAAAGCACACTTATCAAGTCTGTGAGATTTTAAGAGTAAGCTTAGAAACAGCTCCTCTATTTGAAAAAACATCACCACCACACGGTATTGTTGAAAGTGGTATCTGTTATGTGTGGAAGCTACAAAAAAACTTTCCAAGGGGTAATTCCTTTCTTGTTTTCTTCTAGAAAGTGAAAGCAGCCTAGGGAATGCCCGCTTAAAAGGCTGTCATGATCTTAGGCATTACATTTAGATCTTGAAGATGTTTCACCAAATAGCAGGAATAGAAACGCTAAGGGAAACCTCTCCCTTGCTTACATTGTTTGCTTGACTACACTTTATGTTGAGTCACTTTTACTACAGAGTGAATAAGACACTGAATCTCTGAAATTATACGCAAGCCATGCATAAGCTTTCAATGAAACAAGTATTTCCAGGATCAGAGTTTGAGGAAGTCAGTTTCTCCTGGTTTACACATGGATTTTTAACAGGTCAAAATCATCTGGATGATTCAGAAGCAATTACAAATGTCGAAGCAGCCTTCTCTTAAATCATTTTGATTAAACAGACTGGATTTCATGTTGAAGATATACCCTTAGCTGAATGTAAATTATGTTCCACTTGCAGAGCCTGATCCTGCCCTGTTAAATCAATTTAAATTTTGACAGTTGTTGCAAGCACAAATAAGATTGCACAGACATTTAGGAAACTGTTATGGTCTTGCTCTAGTTACTGGGGTTTTTTACCTATGGCAAACGTTAAAAGCATGTAAAAATAGCGTACTGTTCCTGTACTGACCAAACAGCACAGTTCCCCAGTGAGAAAAACGCACATCGATGTCACTGGCTTTCCAGGTTTTCATTCCAAAGTTTTTTGATTTATAAAGTGCAGCCTGAGGCAACCGAAACGGACTGCTCAGACCTGCAGCCTTTTCCTTTTTTCCTATTTAAGAGCTAAAGGTATATGTCATTACCGTCCAGGCAGCAACTTTGCAATTTCTGCCCATCTGTTTCCCAGTCTCTTGTGTGCCTGGTAAATAATTCTATCTTCCTCTTCTGTCCAGGAGGTTTTCTTCACTTCTGGATTCAAATGGTTGTGCCACCTCTCCCTGCACTGTTTTCCAATCCTTCCCTTCAAATGCTTAGCAATGACAGACCAGCGCTTTGGACCGTATTTCTGCACGAGTTCTATTACCTTCAAAGAAGGACATAAAAACTGCCTGTATTTAACGATGCATAATGAATCAATGAAATTTTTCCATGGTGGAGCAATATTTTCAACAACATTTCTCAAAATTGCCACGGTAAAACTAACACACAATTAAGGTTCCCCACTTCCCGTTTATACTTTTACCCGAAAGGAAAAATCTGGTAATAGTTAAGGCATTTCTAGACTGCAATTTTACATTACAGTGCTGCAAAGCAACATCAATTAATTTGCGTAGAAAACTGAGAAAGCACTACACAAATACTGAGTATTGATACTGATAGGATCAGTCTGCCTCTGGCCATATTAGTGTTGGGACCACCAAAGTCTCTAGGAGTTTTGTCCCAACACGTGAAATCCGCTAGTAAGGCATTAATCAGATGGAAAGGAAAACTGATTACCCTTTGATCCTCCTCTTTAGTCCACGGACCTTTAATAAGTTCTGGGTTTAGTACCTTCTGCCATCGGTGCTGGCACTGAACATCTGTCCGATTCTAGTGAAATGTAAAATATGCAAAGTAGATAATTCTTTAGACAAGATGAATGTAGAGTGATAACGCTCTTATCTAGGTACGCTTGTTCCCGATGTATTTCAGCTACGACTACTAAACAATATGGAGTGATACAGTAGGCCTGAGAAGAAGGTGCTCAACCATCACTTTGCTCACTGAACTAAATAATATTTCCATCGTTCCTACAGCGATGACTGTATCACCAAAACTACACAAACTGAATCTTCACCATCTGGCACAATAGCTGTCATGCTTTCACATGCAGTATTTCTACAACAGCCAAAGTGTTCACAAAACAATGATCTTCTAAACCATGCTTACAATTCATCACAGCTATTTTTTCTCTGTGCTGAGACATTTTGTTTCAGTGTCACATTGACCATCTACTGTGCAACGCCCCTCCAACCCCCATTTTTGCTTGTTTGATTTTTTCCAACCCTTTCTGAGAAATGAAAGGAAAATTAAGGTAAGGGTTTCCACAATATTCTAATTAAATTTCAGAGGTCTCCATCTGTGGAGGTTTTATATCTCCCGCAAAAATGTAACTATAAAGCAACCACTCCCCTTTCCCTTACTTGGAAACCCCTGATAAAGAGTTGTCACTAGAAGTGGAAACAGAAACCAATATCCACTTACAGGAAGGAAATTGGCAATGACTTTCCAGTCTTCTGTGCCATTCTGCTCCACAAGCTTCTTCAGTTTCTCATCCTGAAGCATTAAAAAAAAACCCCAGACATAATCAATATCACAATCCCTTATAATGCGAATGAAATACATTAAAACAAAATTGCCTCCTAGCTTTTTATGCATCTATTTCTGCATCCTGAGTGAGGTGGTCTGTAGTCTTCTCATATTTTTAATTGCCTAAATCAGGAGATTTTTCTACTCCTGTGGATTTTGGTAGGTTCTTTACCATGCTGCAGGAGAAAGACTGACTTTTTCTGTGCTGTTCTTTGACTCGCATTATACATTCCCATTTTACTGCTCAAAGCAATGCAACTGTTATTCTTGTACTGGATTTACAGGAGGGCATGGATGTTTAGATGGCAGGCATCAGAATAACAATGAAATTCAGTAACACTCAGGCACCCAGCTGTCTGAGGACCTCTGAAAATCACAGCCTTAAGCTTATATGTCTTGCAAGTAACGGGAGTTCCAGTAATTTGCTCATTGCCTATCCGTGTACAATGAACGCACAATAAAACTAATGGCTCCTTTTTGCTCCTGATCACTGTGAGGGAGTTTTGCATACTCGCTATAGCAAGAAATTTGGCCCAGTATTTTTAATGATAAGGCCAGAAATACAGACCCTAAAGACAGAAGAAACCAATCTCATGTACTGGGAAAGATCGAGATAGTGTAAGACAAGCGAGACCTGCCCCAAGAGATAAGAGGAGGGGAGCAGCCCTACCCTTCCCCGATTAGCGCCTCCCAGTACGCTTCCAGTTCATGTGACAGGAAAGTGGCCACTGGGCTCCACGGCCATCCCTTCCTCCCAGGCCACATCACAAACACATCCACCTCTGTAAGAGCAGACTATGACTTAAAAAAAAATAAAAAATGCTTGCAAGAGGTGACCTGCCACTGTTTATATATCAATATACATCGTTAGAGGGGAGAAAGTAAAAACATAGCTTAAGAACTGTATTAATGTATTTCACAATAAACTCAAACCAGTTAAATGGCCACAGGATATCCACCTGGCAAAGGAGTTTGATACCACAATTTACCCGGAAAGTCAGCACAAGGGTACCGTGACTAAAACGCATCCTGACCTTCAAAAACAAAATACACCTTGAATGCTCAGTTTTGGGACTGCTGGATTTCTTTCTTCCAGCTTTTAATTTATTTCCACTCAGAATCATAATGCTGCGATTAAAGTGCAAATTTCACAAATGGCACAAAAGGACTGCAGCAGTTTCTGCCACAGTTGTTTGCTGCTGTGGGACACTGAACGTACGTCAGTTCTCACGTAGCAACCGTTTTCAAACAAAAAGAGGCAGCAGTAACAATCAAGCATTGCTGCAGGTGACTCTTAATCTGTTTCTCCAACAAGGATTACATGGAGACTCACATACCTGTAACGTAGACCTTGGTGGACATAAAAAAATGGTGTCTATACATTTTATTTAAAAGAGAGGAACGATGCTCAAAGTTAAATAAAACACTGAATGTAGCTAAAGGGTCGAAAACTTTGTCCTCATTCATATACATGGGACTGTCACTGAAGTTAGTTTGCAGATAAGCAACTTGGAGGAGAATGTGATCCACGCTGCTTACATGCAGGAGATGAATGAACTTGGATTTACCTCTTCGCGGGTCCACCTGGTTTTTCCTAAGTGACGTTTTCCGGTCCTAGGAAGCAGACCATCATAATCGTGGTCATACATCTCAACATCTTCTTCGTCATCATCACTACTATATATACTGCAGAAGGAAACACAGTGAGACACAGAGTGGAACATGAGGACTTGAGCTACTTAATTACAAAGCAAAAAAACCCACTACAATCCTTACAAAGGTTACACAGATAGAAGTTTTAAAACTTGCACAACAAGATTTTGTTCTGCATTCTGTTGTTCTAGTATTCTGAACTGGTTCTGCTGTTTTTGGTATCCACAGATACAAGCAAAGGGCTGGCAACCTTCGTATTACTGTGCATGTTTAGACCTGCTCTTACTGTTAGATCAGTGGTGAATTACACATTTGGCAAACTTTCAACCAATGAAGGTTTCAAATTAAAATACAATGTTTGGGACAATAAAGGGAACTAGAGGCTGTGTCCATTACACAAGTGCATGTACAAAATCTTTAACTCGTGCTGTACATTCTGAAAAATATTAGCGTTTTTGTATGTTTAGTAGAGCAGATAGTTACATCGTTCCCAAATAAAAGACTGTGTATAAACACAAGAGGTTAACCAATAATAACCTTGTTTGAGAATATGGTTATGGACCCTATAGGTGAAGGCAAAAGTTTCTACAATTAAGTAAAGCCGGTAAGTGGTAGCATTAACATGGAATAAGCTCTATTATGTGCCTGCCATTTACGGGTCTGGACAGACAAGAGCCAAGGACAAGTATATTTAAAATCCTGCAACCAACAAATGAATGATTGAACCCTTTTATACTCTCCATTTCTCTAACTTAGGACTTTATTACCTCTACTCCATTTCTAAATGCCTCATACTGTTTTTGAAATACTCTGCTACTCACCTAATTCATGACTAAGGGATTTCCCCAGAGGCTATCTATGGGTAAAAAGGACTCTATTACTCTCTTCACAAACAGCACTTGCTCTACCCAGTTAACTAAAACTAAAAGAGAGTGTTTTGCAACAAGAGCTGTCTTTCTGGTGGGCAGTATTTTATTTTCAACTTTTAAATATGGGCAGCAGTTCTGACACTTCAGCTAAGAGATGATAACCGCAAGTGCTAGAAAGGAGACAATGTCATGCCACGAGACTAAAAACTGTGATATATCTGATGGTATGGTATGCTGTGGTATGTTAAGGTATGACTAAGACATTAAAATAAAGTTTTTTTGTAATAAAATTATCAGGCATCGTTTATCCCGTTAACCTGTTTTCAGGAGATCACTTTTTAAATTAAGCAGCAGTGAAGCACAGAGACTGTTAGTCAAGCTGCAAACACCTCCAAAATGCAAGCTGTTAAACATATGTTCTTTTAAGGTACACTGGGCTAATCACACCTTACATCTTCAACCCTGTTTTCTGGCCTGTGGCATGTGCCATGAAAACTCTGCTACACGCAGGAAGTTTTCCGCAGCCTGCCGTGATGTGTGTGGCCTTCCCCGAGCCTCTGCCGGGTGGCCCCTGACTCACCCACCCAGCCCATCGCTGCCACCCTCCACTCGCCCCCGCGGTGCCGTAGTCCTCCAGCCCGCCTGGCCCCACGGTTCACTCCCTACTCCACGGCCTGCGTAACCATCTGGGGGAAGCACTGACTGAAGCTCCCACTCTGCACGCCAAGGCGAGCGCGCACCCCTCGTTTGCAGCTGGAACCTCCCGGGCTCCAGCAGGGCAGCAGCACGCTTGAGCAAAGCCCACACGCTCCAGCTGCTGCGAACGCGGCTCCTTCCCCTGCCGCCGCTCAAAGTAGATTCACTTTTCTAAGTGACACACAGAGACAGCTGTGCGACTGCCCATATGCCAAAGGAAGCTCTGTGGCTCAATTTCCAAGTATCATTTTGAAAATGAGTTTCGCAGATAGTAAAAGCACCAGGTATGCATCCATCAGTGACGCTTCCTACACGGCGACGTGTTTCAGGCACAGCAGAGAAACGCCGCTCCGCAAGGGCAGCAGAACATCCGCGGCGAACAGGTTAAAATGATTTAAGTGCGGTGCCAGTAATGTGACAGGTTTATTTAAATAACCGGGGCCTTGCTGGCACCGCAGAACTGAGCAAACCCCACTGTATTACCTGTGCTCTCCAGTAGGAGAAAAGGGCCCTGGGATTTCGGGACGCTCGGCAGCTCCTTTAGCTAACCGGGCCCGCAGCGCTGCTCTAAAACTTTTTATTATTCTGCACCTCCGGCCGCAGCCCCCAGGCCTCCCCCGGAGCGGCGCGG